CTCTAGTAAAGTGAATTTAAAGAATGAATCCTTGATGATTTTCAATCCATGAAGCATTGATGATCACTAGATCAATCTCAATTCATGAAGGTAAGTGGTTGGGTCTCACTAGAACTCTTAGCCTTTGTTTTTTGCACTCCAGGAAGAGAAATCGAAGAGTCTAGATCCAAATCTGAACTGAACCACACGCATATAACAGAATTGGCTGCCTCAGATCACTGGAGCAGTTATAACACTCTGCAGGATTATTTCTTGATGCTATGAGATATACTGCAAGAAACGTTACCAAACGGCACGTTAGCCTTTGTTTTTTGCACTCCAGGAAGAGAAATCGAAGAGTCTAGATCCAAATCTGAACTGAACCACACGCATATAACAGAATTGGCTGCCTCAGATCACTGGAGCAGTTATAACACTCTGCAGGATTATTTCTTGATGCTATGAGATATACTGCAAGTCTGCTAGGACCGCTCGAGCGGTTTATGACCCCCTTCAGTTTCTTCATTTTCAGGTCTGAGATACTGCAAGGGTGAATGACTGTTTGATAATCGATTGAGCGGTGCACAACTCTTAGCCAGGTCACAAATAATGTGTTTGAGGCATAACAAGTTGAATTTGCATCTAAATACACTTTCTACCTCACAGATACGAAGGAACAGATGCAAATACAATGTAATGATGTTTGCCAAACGGGATTGCCAATCTAAACTGAGTCCTAACAAACCGGAGTACAACCTTTGTAAAAGGCATAGTTGGGTGGGACTTGGGAGGCTTGATCACAGCGCTTGCTGTGTAAAAGTCTTGCAATTTACCATTAAACTACCCTAGTACTATATTAATATTTAGTAAATAGATATTGTTTATAACATTCAGTAAAAAAACAAATATAATAAACTCTTTTTTTTCCCCACAAACAATCAATATAAATGTGTAAACACATATTTATATAATTATATATCTTCAAATATAAAAATAATTTAAATGAATATATTTTTTATTACTTATATTAATATTTATGATATCACGGTTTGATTCTGGTTGACTATGCGGTTGAACCAGTGACCCTTGACCCGGTCTCTTTTTTGGCCAACGGTTTGGGTTTCATAATCTTGTTTCTTTGCACTTGCTTATGAAAAACAATTGTTTTTAATTAATGAATACACAAGCCTAGTAAAATTAACTAGCTGTTTTTAACGTGGTCTTTTATGTTATGACAAAATAATTGCCATCAAGGTCTCAGCCTTACCCGTCTACTTTTGTAATTTTGTTAGGCACAATTGTGTGTTGACGCTTTTTGTTCCAGTTTCTTCCTTTGCGTTCACATACGCACTTGTCTAGGCTTTGTATTTTGATCTATAATTGATTTATTTTCCATGGAGTAGCATCATTGCGTTGCGTCACTTATTATTATTATTTTCTTAAGTTCACTACATTGCTTCACCTATGATACGCTAATGTTAACCTCTCATGTTTAGTGTTAGTTATCATTATTGTCCAAGTTAAGTTGCAAAGGATTTTCATGAAATGCCACGAAATAAAAGCTCAAAACAAACAAATTTTCAGGTGACAGATGCATGCCATCATTTGTACACCAAAATGTTAGATCATCTCAATGGACTAGCCAAAAAAAAAGAAATCAAACTGTTATACGAATTGACGGTCGTGTAACAGTTTGGTGGGAAAAGAAATCAAATAATCTGACTGAACCGATATAACACATAAATATACTTTTATCCACGTGTTTAATGTTTATTGGTGCTATAGATTACATCTTATAAAAAATGATGCTAATGCTCATCTCTTAGCCTAGGGTTCACCATCTGTCTCTGTGTCTCCCATTACATGACGAGTTGTAACTTTGTCTCCATCAAAATAATTAGTCTCTCCACTCTTTCATCTACGCATCTCTCCCTCTCTTTCATTACAAGTCTCTCCCTCTTCCATTACACTGATTACAGAGCCTCTCACCCCATCTTTGTTCTCCCTTGCCAGAAAATCCCTTTCCCTCTTCACTCTCCCTACACCAGAAACCTTGTTGGTGGCAGTGAAAATCATATGTTTCTCATTTAGTCCCAAATCTTTATATATGTTTGAATGCATATTTGATTCAATCTCTCAAATATCTCTTCCATTCATTTTGAGTTGTATACATGTTTAAACGTGGGATTTGTTGTTTGAATCACAATATGAGTGGTAGGGTAGTCTTTGTGTTATGTATCTACCACCTACCAAATTGTCTGGCAAACTGAATGATTTGACTCGGTTGATTTTGAATAGCAAGTTAAGCGGCAATGGATGACCATTTTCCAACCTTGATGCCTTCGGTTGGGTTGATGGGTTGAGGGTGAACCTGACTCGTGAAAATTGCTACTTTTAACAAACCTATGGGTGATGCTTTTATAATCATTAATGCTTTAGTATTCTTCTTTGTTAGAATTTCCCATCTTTACCTTCACCTACTCCACTACACACTCCACTTCACCTACCTCTACTCCACTACACACTCCACTTCACCTAACCCACTATCACCTCCACTACACCTACTACCACATTACCTTCACCTACTCCACTACACACTCCACTTCACCTACCTCTACTCCACTACACACTCCACTTCACCTAACCCACTATCACCTCCACTACACCTACTACCACATTTTCTTCTATATATAGATTGTATAGGAATTGTAATTAATGCATCTTGTAATCTATCAATCAAGACATCAATCAATAATACATAAATTTTTACATTCTTCATCTTCTTCTTCTTCTTCTTTGTTTTTTGAATTATCGATTGGAAAATGTTTACATTTTTATAAATATCAAGACAATTACGTTAAACTGGACAATCAACTATTGAAGAACGTCTAACAATAGAAACCCGCAACTCCAACACCAACACCAACACCAACACCAACAACAAATAGCCTCATAATTAGGGATGTAAGAAATATCGAAAAAAACGACCAAACCGATTGAACCGGATCAAACTGGCTATATTTGGCCTGTTTTTTAACAAGAATCGGTCTGTGCTGTTTTTAAATTTGAATTTTTTCGATTTTCGGTTCGGTATCGGTTTAAGCACTTTGTGTATCGATCTAAACCAAAATTTGACCGCTTCAACATATATTGTATTTATAATATATATGTAATCTAATAATATAATGATATTAATAAGTATAATAAAATATTAATCTTAATTAATTAATCTTATCATCTTTATAATCTAAGTTTGTAAACTCTTATTATATATAATCTTAACTCCAACTTATTATTCTTGAAACCTTAGTATTTTTAAACTTTTTTTTTGTTTTTATTTTTGTTAATTTAGGAATTGAAAAGTATGTATTAAATGGATGGATTGGATATATTTGAAATGGTAGGCAAATAACTAATTTAATGTTTTTATATAGATTAATGATTATGTTTAAAAGTGGCTAAAGTTTGAAAAATCCTGAACCGATTAAACCGTATTAAACTAAACCGTTTCAATCGGTTCAGTGTGGTTTGGTGAGAGAAACGGCCTGTATCGGTATTCAAAATAAATTATCGGTTCGGTGTAATTTTTTACCTAAATACCGACCGTATCGAACCGATTACATCCTTACTCATAATGGGGAAGAAACAAACAATTAAAGAATTAGTATTTGTCTTTGGCAATGATGACCCCCTAATGTCTCAGTTGATACTGTACAGGAATGGCCAACTTGATTAGTCCAATTTGTTGATTTAGTATTCATTTATACAAATAGTTAAAAATCTGTCACATAATGGCCGACCAAATGAATTTTCATTACAGATTTACCATTATTTGATAGAGTGCCTCGGGATATAATATGGTGGATGTTAGAGAAGAAAGGGTGACAAAATGTTACATTGATGTGATTAGTGACATGTATGAAAGGGTGGTGACCACTATTAGATTGCCTGTTAGAGAGACAAATGAATTTCCTATCGTTGTAGGGTTACACCAAGGATCTACCTTAAGTCTTTATCTTTTTGCGTTAATTATGGATGAATTGACGAGAAATATTCAGGATGACGTGTCATGGTGTACTTTTTTGCAGATGATATCGTGTTAGTGGATGAGACTAGAGAAGGAGTTGACACAGTTTGGGGATTTGGAGAAAAGCACTTGAATATAAAGGATTTCGGATAAGCAGAACTAAGATAGAGTGCATGGAGTGTAAATTTAGTAACAGTAACAATGAAAGTAGAGAAGTGAAGATTGAGAATCAAAACTACCTAAGAGTGAACATTTTCGTTATTTAGGGTCGATTATCACAACGGCGGAGGAGAATAATGCGGATGTGGCCCATAGGATTAAGGCGGGATGAGTTAAGTGGAGAAGTGCGTCTAGGGTACTGGGCGATAAACGAATACGCACAAGGCTAAAAGGTAAGTTCTATAGAACAGCTATTAGACCAGAAATGTTGTATGAGACAGAGTGTTGGGCAACCAAAAAACAATATGTCGATAAGACGAGTGTTGCTAAGATGAATATGCTAAGGTGGATGTGTGGCAAAACTAGACAAGACAAAATTAAGAATGCGTGTATTTGGGAATGGGTAGGAGTATCATCGATAGAAGAGAAGTTGAGAGAGAATCGATTGAGATGGTTCGGTCATATTCAACAGAGACCAATAGAGGCAGTAATGAAGAGATGCGATGCAATGACGGTAGATGGAATTGTTAGAGGATCGGGTAGGCCTAGATTAATGTTGGCTAGCGTTGTAAATAGAGATATGAATCTACTTAATTTGATTAACGAAATGGCCTTTGATAGAGCCGCGTGGAGAAGAAATATTCATGTAGCCGACCCCATTTGATGGGACTTAAGGCTTGGTTTGGTTTGATTTAGTTTGATGATATAATGTGATATATATTATTTTCAAAAATAGATGCACTTATTGAGCTCATATGTGTTTCTGATGATAGTATTAATATTGGAAGAGAAAGGAAATTATCAGGATACTAATAATAACATTTTGTTTACTTAGAACAAAAATGAGAGGCCTCACTTGATGAAAAACCGGAGCTAGTTAAGACCCACCGTCGCAGCATTGATCATGGTACCCGAAAGGGTTGGCAGTGTCATTGGGGGTTTTCAAGGGCAAGACATTCAATCAAGTTGAAATCAAGCCTGAAATGATTAGCCATTCTCCAGCTGAGTTCTCAATCTCATACAAGCCAGTGTAAAGCACAGTAGGCCTCGTATTGGTGCCACCCTCTCCTCCAGGTTCATTCCTCTCATTATCGTAGACTAAATTTGTGTTTTTAGTGCTTTTGTCTTTGTTTATTTAACCATGTAAACACTACTCAAAAGAAGCTTAAACCACACAGTTCAATTATGAACTTTTTGCCTTCGCTTAATCTGATCAGAAATTGTTCCTCCAAGTGTGTTGAGGTGGTTGATTTACTTAAAAAGTGGCTATTAGAGAGCATGCCCATCTTGCCTTTAAGATTTAGGCACATTTGGAAAGACAAAATATAGAGAGGTGTTTTTCAAAATACACATTTAATTTCTCTCTACACCCACAATGTGCATTATAAAGGGAAATTTGATTGGCATACTTAGAAGCTCCTATGGAGAGGTAGTGTTCTAATTCCCAGAGGCAGATTTTTATTTTTTATGTCAGTAAATAATTTGTCCAAACTGTAGATTGAATTCGACTAGAGGATTTATGGAATTATTTGTTCTCATGTTATAGAATGTTTTATTTTTAAGTATCGCTTAATTTATAATCTTCTTTCAATCTAAATAGTAGAGTTGGATTTACTTTTGAGAGTTCTTTTATTATTCTCTTTTAAAGGTAGATTGTGATAATGTAGAAGCTCTCATAGAGGTAGTGTTCTATTTCCCGAAGGCTAACTCGCCCTAATTAATAAGTAAGAGAGGCAAAGAAAGTTGATCGGCTACTGGAGATGGTGAGGGGAATCATTTTGAGTGCTAAATGTATCTGGTTTATGGGTGGTTATAGGTTGGTTTGGACCGGTCTCACACATGTCGAGGGTTTTTGTGTCAGTTCAGGATTAAACCCAGTCTGATATCTAGTTTAACTTAGCCATCTCAAGTCCGGTCCTAATGAAAATTCAATTATTAGGCATGTCCACTTTGCCTTTATACAAGGGTATTTTTATAATAATAAATAAAATAAAAACGTTCAGCTATACAGGTCACTATTCTTCAAGGTTTGTATTGTATCCCTTCAGATTTTTTTCTAATGTGAACGCATCAATATACTACTTTTTTTTTTTTTCTTCTTCTCTCGAAGGTTTGATTTGCTTTTGATTTTATTTTCAAATGTGAAATCTGTGTTCCTTCTTTCGTTGACTCCATACTTTTTTGTGTACAGAACATGTTTCTTGTGAAAATTAACTAGGCCCTGTTGTGTAGAACTTAACCTAAATGTGTTTAGCTACCTAGTTTGTTTTGTATTTCTTTTTTATGTTTTGTTTTGTTTTGTTTTTTTTTCCCACTCTGTTGGGTTGGGTTGGGTTGGGTTGGGTTGGGTTGAATTAACACAACTTCTTGTCCATTTTTTTTTTGCAGATAAACGTGATAAAATGAAAATTTATGATTGTCAAATTGATCTAATTTTTTTCATAAATGATATATACGAAAGGTCTTACAAAATGAACAATTCGAATTATTAAAATGAGATACATGCACTGGCGGAGGGAGCATGGGACCTGTGCCCCCTTAGATTTTGGGAATTTTTTTTTTCCTTTTTTGCAAACATAAAGAAAATATTTTTAAAAAAAATTATAAAAATATTATTAGAATGAAATGTCAATGACATTTTAAAAATTATGAAAACAATAATGGTTGTTTTGATTGAAAATGAAGAGACTATTATAAATAAATTATATTAGCTATAAATTTTTCTGAATGTAACGACGATGTCATTATTAGTGATATGTAAAAATAAGTAATCTCATTATAAAGATATAAAATTTATTGGATTGTTAGTTACATTTGATATGTGAGGTTCACTCTCTGTGTGTTTAGTTACCATTAGTGGGTGATATCACATACCAATGATGATGTAGTATTACCATTATATTGAATTTTTAATCAAATTTTGTATCAAAAAATAATTTATCATTATATAAATTTTTTTAAGGCTTATATTCATATTTTTTTTGTATTGTTCATGATACACTAGTTACAAATAGTATTCAGTTTGTTTGTTTCCAATTTTTAGAAAATTCAACTTTTTTGATTTTTCGTATTTTAATGTTTTGAATGAATTTTTTTAATATTTTAAGCCATTTTTTTTTAATTTTTGAACACACCTAACATAAATACACTTGAAAAGTATAATATTTGTGAAAAAAAATATTTAAAAAATACATTAAATACCAAAAAATACCAAAAAAAATGAAAATTCAGTGTATTTTTTGTATTTTTGTATATTTATTAATTTTTTAAAATATTTTTTCACAAATATTTTACTATTTAGATACATCTAAGTAAGGTGCATTTAAAAAAATAAAAAAATTATCTAAAATTCAAAAAATATTCACTAAAAATAAAAAAATACAAAAAATAAAAAAATTCAGTTTTCAAAAAACTGAATTCAACCAAACACACTAATTAATTTTTTTTTTTAATATTTCGTGAAATCAATTGTAAAAATTTGCATGAAATATTTTTATAAAAATTATTGTAATTAAAAAGTGTCCCCGTTAATTTAATTTTCTGATTCCGTCACTGGATGCATGGTAGACTCTACAAGCCCGAATATGATGTTCAAGTTCATAGTAGAACTAGAAAGAAGCCTAACACTATTTGTAAATAAAGATTCTAACGAATCAGGTTGTTCAGCTCATTTAATTTTTTTTTGAGATTCTCATTTAAAACTCGTGAACACAAAGAGTATAAATTTAGTTTAATAATATATGAAGTGTATTTTATTTCTTTATTTATGTTTTTGTGTTTATGTGAATTTATATTTTTGATTGATGAAATTTATTATTAATATGATTATTTTTTTATATTTTATTTATAATTTTCTCTTAATCTACAAATTAATTTAAGTTTGATTATTTTTTCTTCAAGCTTGAGCTTGCTCAACTGGTTTAGTAATCAAGTTGACTTGAGTGGAGCTCAAGTTTCTAATAGCATCCCCGCTTACTTAAATTTTATTCTAGAATATTATTAAAAAATTCATTCTCTATTTTAAGAATCATTTTTTCATTTACTTCTTCCAACAAACTCCCTATTCTTTTCCTAAAATATTATTAAAATATTCTTTCTTTATTCTTTTACTTTTTCATCTTCTTCTTGGATTTTCTGGGATGGTGCTCACTCACGTTCTTTGACAAATTGAAATATATATACCCAGGTCCTTTGACAAATTGATATATATACTCAAGTTCTCTTTCTCCATCTATCACTGTTTGTGTATATCTATACAATACATGCTTCAATTATTTGGTTTAGTTGAGGATAGATAGAGTAAAGCAGTGCAGTGAAGGGGGTGGTCGACCGGCCGGACGTCCGGGTTAATTCACTTAGATATAAGGGAGTTACAGTGACTCCTTATTTGTAGGGAGTCACTGTAGCAAATATTAGTTTAGGAAATTGTTTAGGGGTTTTGCTGGAGGTGTATAAAACGATTTTAACTCCTTAAAATAGGTAAGGAATGAGTTTGGGGAGATTGCTGGGGATGCTTTACAACTCTATTTATAATCACTTGTTAGTCTATTTATAAACACTCAAGGGATAGTTTTGAAAAACTAAGGCTTTGTTTAGTAGAACTTTGGAACCTTAGTTTCAATCATTGGTTCTCACGTGGTGTTTATTTGCAGCTTTTAAAAATTAATTCTAAGTTCACTTTTGAAAATTCGGTCAAGGCGAAAAAATTTTGGCTAACGGAACTGTTAACATTCAATGTATAAAGAGAATTGTATTATTGATTGATGTATTGTTTGTATACAATGACTCTCCTATATATAGAAGAGAAAAACATATTTACCTACCACACTCAACTCTCACCTAACACACTCAACTCTACCTACCACACTTACAGCCCCCCTCAAACTCAAGGAGGATAGATACTAACCAACTTGAGTTTGGAGAGAGTAACAAAACAAGAAAATAGTCTAATACATAAAATAAAAGGGGATAGGAGACACTGTATGGTCGTGTCAGACCGTTGGTGAAGATACTGGATGGTTGTGTCATAACGTTGTAGAGGACACTGGATGGTTGTGTCATAACGTTGTAGAGGACACTGGATGGTTGTGTCATAACGTTGTAGAGGACACTGGATGGTTGTGTCATAACGTTGTAGAGGACACTGGATGGTTGTGTCATAACGTTGTAGAGGACACTGGATGGTTGTGTCATAACGTTGTAGAGGACACTGGATGGTTGTGTCATAACGTTGTAGAGGACACTGGATGGTTGTGTCATAACGTGGTAGAGGACACTGGATTGATCGTCGGAGTACCCCCGAGTGGCAAACCACCACCGGAGTCTTCTCTTTCTGTTACAAGTTAGTCAGGTGACATCTATTCTGCCGGTGCTCTCCAGCTGGATACTAAGATTGCAGTGTGGTCAGAAAATCACTCATACATGAACAGTTCAAATTATCGAATTATGCCCTGAAATGGACCCAATAAAATACACAACTGTTGCTACTGCGCAACATGCGCAACAATAACCCCAAACTCAAATAAGAGCAAAGAAAGAGGGACATAAAAAGTAGGTATTTGGCATGCACTAAAAAGTACTTTTTTCTTTTTGTGCATATATACACTTATTTGGGTCACATCAATCAATATCTGCTCTCTACTTTTTTACCAACTTTTTCTACTTTTCTACACATATTTTTTTTTATAAAAAGTAAAAAACTACACTTTTTTAAAACATCCTAAACCATTCCTATAAAATGATGTAAAAGCAGTGGTGGAGGGAGTAAGGGACCAAGGGGGTTACGTACCCCTTGGATTTTGGGTTTTTTTTTTATAAAGAAAATATTTTAAATAAAAAATTATAAAAATATTATTAGAATGAAATGTCAATGACATTTTAAAAATTATGAAAACAATAATAGTTGTTTTGATTGAAAACGAAGAGACTATTATAAATAAACGATATTAGTTATAAATTTTTTTGAATGTAACGACGATGTCATTATTAGTGATATGTAAAAATAAGTAATCTCATTATAAAGATATAAAATTTATTAGATTGTTAGTTACATTTGATATGTGAGGTTCACTCTG